TGTTGTAGCGGCACTACTAAGCCCCGCCTATTTCGGTTTATCCATCCATCATTGTCGTCGAGCTAAACTAGCGGTAGGCCCAAGAAACGGGCAGTTACAGCACACGGTGGGCAGGAAGCAAAGATAGGTTGCATAAAAATGTCGACAAAAACTGAAAGCAGGGTTGTATTTGTTGATATTTTTAGGTTAAGAATCCCTTTGAATTAAAATCCTAGCTGCTCCTGTTTTAAAGATATCAACATTTTACATAGTTATGATAGGATCAACTTTTGCGAAAGAGAAAAACATCCTTGTGCATTAAATATTCAACAATGTATGTGTGAGTAAATGTGTGTATATATATTATGTGAAAATATAAGTTTATGTAAGTTTTTAGGCGGTTTCGATCGTTTCCAAGGCGCACCACGTAGAGGCAACTTACTTTGCACCTCTTTGTTCTTTTTTTGGTTTTATTTTTTTCTTGCTTTAGTTTTTTATATTTGGTTTTTGTTTCCTTTTATATTTTTTGTTGGCTTACCATATAATATAGTCACACATTTTAGTATTTAAATATTTTATTATTTAGTTAAGTTTTTATATATATGCTGGAATGAAAATGTCATTACAGTTTTCTTCAGGCGACTCACAAAAGTTGGTTTATCAATCATATTTATTTTGAATCTATCCCAGAATTTAATGAATTCCCTATGAACTGACTTCCCGGCCTGCTCGGACCATAATCCTAAACCATCGTTATTCAAGAATGAAATAGATTGCTTTAAATGTTTAAGGATAAAATGGATTTTGACAGTTTGAGAAATTCCAGTACTTTTCAAAGCTGTGCGGAGTTCCTTAAGATTTTTATCAAAATTACTAAGATCCGCTTGTTTTGTGGAAAACCATGTATTCACGATTTTGCTCATGGCTTTGAACGAGGCAATATATTTGGTATTGTTTTTACTGAGAGTTTCTTCCATACAATGTTCGACATTTTTTTGTATGTGGAAGACACTGTCAGCAAAAAATAAATAATTGCAAAAAATCAACGAAATTTTCTGGTAACTTCAGACTTGCACTTTACTAATTGGCTCAAAAGCTACATTTTAAACATTTTTCTAAAAGATCTGATTAGAAATTGTGATCAGATGAAAGTGTCTCCGAGCCAATAATTTTGTACGGCACGGTACTTAAAAGTAATCTAGGTTTCACGAAAAAAAAAATAAATACAAGGTAACATTAAAATATCAGTCATTTGTTTCGTTGCTGTGAGCTTGTTTCAAAACTTCTGGCTTTTGCTATAATTGTAAAACTCTGTGCATGTCATTTTAACGTATTTAGGTACATACTTATATTAATCATCAACTATTGCTTATGCAAAACGTGCTACATTTAAAAAAAAATCGCATATGAAAGAGCACCAACCCAACTCGTAATAATTTAAGTATACAAATTTTAGTATTTAGTATAGAAATATTCAATTGAAATACGCCAATATTAAAATGAAGCGCTTTGCACTTAACGGATGCTTTTTCATAATTAAGTTAAAAAAAAAATTATTTAAATTCCATGCTGTCTGCAATGGGATTTGAACCCTGACGCTCTGGAAATCAGCAAATTGTGGCAAGCATCTTCGTGCACTCAGCTACAGCCAGACATGTAAATGTGCATTCAAATGTTCAGTTTGATGCAACACCACGTGTGCGTGGTATGAAAGTATTGTTTTTAAGTACGAACATTTCAAAACGATAATCAAATAAAAAATATTCATGTTTACTATGCGTTATTTCCCCCAGTAAATTCATAAAAATTTTCTTAATATTACAACGCGTTTTTTCTCTCAGCGTAGTCATTTTTAAGCAAAATTTGCGCAATCAAATCGAAAACCGGGACACTTAAATGAAACCCGGGACATTTTAAGGTTGGACCGGGACACCGGGACAAATAGTCTAAAACCGGGACATGTCCGGGAAAACCGGGACGTCTGGCAGCCCTACACACAAAGCGCATACTTTCATGCGATTTTCTTTATGATCGCATTTGTGTTCTGGATTTACAATAGTTATTATTTCCTGACAGAAGAGTACATAAATACCAAAATAAATCCCATACAAGCTTTGAATTTATTTACTTATTATGAGGAGTACCGTTGGCCTAAGTTAGAGCATTTTTATTTCTTGCACAAGCGCAGTGCGACTTGCCTGCGCTACTTGCTTATAGCAACAAACCTTTAATAAAAAATTACTACCGTATTATATAGCATACAATATTGTATACATACATACATATATTGCGATATTGAAAGTGTTTGTAATGAGAAAGTTCACGCTACAGAAAAAGGTAATTGTGGTGTTTTATCTAAGTTGTATACCGGTAGCGCCCAATAAATCTCGATCAATTATTCTTTCGGTAGGAAAAAATGAAAATGTTTCGCATTGATTTGATCCGTTTTAGTGAGTTAAAAAAGGGGAACAGATTTGTATGAGATTTCTTTTCGTATAAATATGCTCTAATTATCGAGAAGTACGCCTTCCTCTTTTGCAAATATATCCTATCAGAAGTATATAAAATGTGGATATCTTTAAAACAGGAGCAGCTAGGATTTCAATTTAAGCGGATTCTTAACCTTAAGATATCAACAAATACAACCCAGCTTTCAGATTTTGTCGACATTTTAATGCAACCTATCTTCGCTTCCTGCCCACCGTGAGCAGGGTCTGACCAAAGGGAGAGGAGAGCTAGTCGAGTGCGGTTGGGCTGGCATATCAAGAGGTGGTTGGTGCCGTGCGGGAAGTCTCCACATGCCAGACACTCATTGGGAATATAGGGGTCGAGTCTGGACTTTTTGTAAGGAAACATTTTTCTAATTTCTAATTAAAAAAAAAAAACAATCAGAGAAAAAACTACCAAACAACCAAATTCGAAAAAATAAAAGAAAAGCAACCAAGTTTGGTTGGAAATAACCAACAGTGGTAACCGTGGTCACGCAATTTTCCGCATACAAATTATGTTTGAACATTTTTTTATATGGAAGAAATGCCCAGCACCGTCAACAAAAAAAAATGGTATTTTGTATCAACTTGAAAGTTACTAAAATTTAAAAGTTTCAAATTTTGGTGAAATCTTGTTGGATTTTAATAATTTTTGTACAAAGTTTGAAATGTGGATTTATGTATGTAGTGTTTGTTGTAGAACCAGCTAGACTATTATAAAAAATATTAAACACTAAATACACAGAAGAATTATAGCTAAAACTGGTCAAAATAAGGCGAGGTTGGAATGGAAAAGAAATTTTCTTCTATCAAAATTTCTTAAATCAGTTTGCAGCTCAAAGTGCTTTTTCAAGCAATAGAAATAATGAAAAATATTTCTTGTGATTTTTCTAAGCTTTAATTTGAATTGTTTGTGCTTGCTTTATAAATACATAGTATTTAAAACTAAAGCAAATTGATATTTTTATGGAGCACACATGCGTAGATGTACATACATATGTACATACTAGGGCATTCAAACCCGGGATCCCGCACACTTTTTCATGTCCTGAAATTTTAGCTCCGGGATCCCAAGATTTTTACTGAGTCATTTACGGAATAAAAGAGATGTTGAAAACGAAAAAATTATTTCATTTGACATGAAAAACGAGATATACAGAACACCAAAATTTTGATTCTAAGTGAATAACTGTACTTTTTCAAACAGTTTTGTGGAAAATGAATTTCTGAAGATATTAGTAAGGGCTTTTTACAATTAACATATACATTTAAGAATACTATAAAAATAGTTAGACATTAAATTACGGACTCTTTTACTAAGGTGCGTTATCCTCACTGTAAGACAAAATAGGCGAACCTACTGTTAAATGCAAAAGTTGTGATAAAGTCGAAATCCTGAAAAATCCCGAGATCCCGGGATTAGAATTTTTGCATCCCGAAATCCCGGGATTGCTAAAATGCTTCGGGATTGAATTCCGTAGTACATACATATATACATAAGATGCACCTGCATTTTTTCGTATATGCAAATCGATTTTACCAGCAGAAGTCTTCAATCGTTTGCTAGCTCCACTGACTAAAAGGTAAAACATTTTTACATAAAATAAATTGATTCTATAAGAGTCTTGATTACCTGCATAAACGCATCTTTTCTATATTTCAACAGTAACTTACATAGGTATGAACGTTTGTATAGTTAGCAAACTTTACGTAAAACACTCCTTAAGGAAGCGCACATTTAACAATCAAAACTTTTATTTTACGACCTCAAGGCTAATAAAATCACCAGCTTTTTAATGGAAAAGTATTAACTACTTGAAAAATTGGCGTAAAACGCAATTTTTAATTTTTTCATACATCAAAGTAAAATTTGAAATCATGTCAGCAAAAAATCAATAAACAGGACTTTGCAGGATGATAGTTTTCATTGACTCATTCATGTTATAAGTTTTCAAATGCCTTTGTTTCACATACCGTTGGCTTTATACCTGGTTCATCACTTTTATTTAATGCTTTGTATGCACAATTTTTGCAATGCAATCGTTTGAGCTCATAATTTAGTAATCACATACTATTCGCTAAGTTTTATAACTGAATTACTAGTATATTTAACAACTCAACTCCGTTGCGAACAAACTGATTTTTACTTTCGTTTTTCATCGGCGAGCCAAGTGGCAAACAGTCCGACTATCGCCCAATAATGTCGTGCTTTTTCAGGGATATGTATTAAATGACACATTGCAAGTGTGGGCGCTGGTTTGATATTCAACCCCAAGTTATGCAAAGCGCATGTCCATGATAGTGACACATGTCAAATATCTATGAGTATTATTCTTGACTTTCAAGAAATTCGAGTGTAGCGGTCTTCTTAAAGAGTAGATGAACATATGTATGTATCTACTTTTGCATGCATATATTTATACATACATATGTATGTACATATCGTTGCCTTCATATAGGAAGGTCCTAAGTAAAATGTTTGTCTTTACAGAGTATTTACAAAACTTACTTAAAAAATTACTTTATTACAAATCAATGGCATTCAACTTTCATTTTATTTTAATAAAATTTGTGGGAAGATCATATAGATTCGTAATTCTATATTTACAATTTTAGGTCAAATTATACACGAAAATTGCATTTCACATAAGTAATGCCTTGTCGATTCGACCATGCAGGGCTAAACAAATGTTTACATATGTAGATATATTTAATGACTGTTGTCAGCAAAATATTCTTTTTCAAAAGCCAAAAAGTCCTCCTCTGTAAAGATAGATTCCTGTACTTTCTTTTTCTTCGGCATCTTCACCGCGGTTCCTTTTTTACTTCGCTGAATGATCTGAAATTGAATTAATGGTAAAGGGTAAAAATATTTGATTATTAATACGATATGCTTAAAACACCTTTTTAGCTACATTAGCATCTATTGAATTTTGTGACAATGCCAGTAAGCGTTTAAGGTTTAAATTCGTTTTATTCTGGTCAGGCAAAAACTCCTTGCGTAGATCTTCTATATTCTTTTTGTCCTTCTTGCTTGCGGTTTTGAATGCCAGATTTTTATGATTTCTCGCTTCGTTTTTATGTGAACTGCTTACACTTCCTATTTTGGACAGAGGTTTTGCTTTATTTTGTGTAGCTGCAAGAAATTTGTTTTAAATTTTATTGAAGTATTCTCATGTACTTTGTTGTTAGTTTCTGCATTACTAGTAGAGTCCGACCGATTAATCAGCGTTTTTGGCGGATTCTTTTTACTTTTTCCGCAATTTTAACAAATGTTCATCAAAATTTGAAACTGTTTAATCCGATTTTTTAGCCTTCTTTTTTTAGGTACGCAGTTTTTTGAATTATATAATAAACATCGTATCGTATCGTATATATAAGCCTATACCATGATTCAATAATAGAAAGGTTTTGTAATAAAACAGTCTTCTCGCTCCCACACATAAAATCGGCTTCTTTACTTGTGCAGAATGTTGCTCATTCTACAGTTTCTAGTTATATTAGTAGTAAAACCAAAATTTCTTCATACTAAATATGCGCTGTCATCACCTTCGTATGCGTAAATTTCTGGAGCAAGTCTAGAATAGCGACCGTTTAGCTATAAAATAACCAAAAGTGCTGATTGATACAACTTTTTACGCTAATTTCAACGATACCAAATTTATTTGGCGAAGGTAAAAAACAAAGAAGATAAAGAGGTTTATTTGCTTTGTTTACTTATTTTTTATTACCACTTAATTCATAAAACCCACAAGTAGATCATGATAAAATATGTATATCGAATTAAAAACAATAGCTTGTACTTTCTAAATAATATAAATTTCTTTATTATTAATCATGCAGTTTTTTCATAAAAGCTTATTTCATGAAGAAATAACATATGTTCGTTTTTTAGTAGTTTTGGTTTAAATATATAAAAACCAATTTCAATTATATATATCAGCTGAAAGATAAGTTGATTATCTTTATTGTGATGTTATTAGTTTTTTAATCGGTTATGTGGTTCATAAGATATTAATATTAAAAAAAATCAAAGAATTTAATTGTAACCTTCTAAAACGTCTTTATATTTTACTTGCGCTAAATAATTTTGGCATGGTTGAAATGAGCGTAAAAGTTCTATTGATCTGCATTTATTGTTTTTGCATAGCTGAACGGTCGGTATTCTAGATTTGTTCCAGGACGACATGACGAATAACTTAAACTAAAAATCTATATTTTTACGTATTGCTTAGTATTTCTATTAAAACGCCAAATATATTACAAATTCACATATAATTAATAATACACATTTTACTTCTAAATGTATACTTTGCGCACTTTCTTAGTACCTTTCTACTAACATTTTCGCAAAAGGCGATCGCATTCTTCCCCTTTCTCCTACTTCCAAAACACAAATCTATATAAAGGAGTGCCAAATTTTAGCTGTCATAAATTACATAACCTTGTGTTATTGAATCATGAGGCTATACCATATATGTAGAACTTCTATATTGCTAGTAAATTCAAAGTACATTCCCCAACATCAGAGTGTCGATATATTCAAAAAAGAAGGAGAGATCCGATAAGAGAATGTACTCAAACTGACATTTTTACTTTTCAAAATTCAGGAGCGGTTTAACAAATTCTTATTGAAAAATAATTCACATGAAAAATTAACAAAAAATACAATATTTGTATATTTATCTATGAGAAACACTGCAACCACTGTGGTGGCAGAGGATAAAGGTACCGCTTACAAAAGGACTTGGCATCAGTTGGCATTTCCAGTTGGCGTCAATAAGACCAGAACAGAAACGAATGGTGTGCTTTATTGGATTGGATCATATGCCACACAGCTTCATGTGTAAATAAATTGTGTCTTACGACGATTTCTTTTCTACAAAAACTGTTGCCTTTTCAATGCCCTCTCCTTAGTATTTGTGCGTAGAGGGCACTGAGAAGGCAACATATTTCGGTAGAAAAGAAAACGCCATTAGTTAGGAAAAACACCTCCTCTTTTCCAAGTTTTCGGATATCGAAAAAACGAAGAGCTTCGAAAAAAGTCGACATATCGAGCCCTAACCGCAAAAAAATTAGGATTTTTTTTAAAACCTACTTCTTGAAGCAGAAATACTCGGTGACAGGTAATAAGATCAACGGAAATAAGGTCAATTGACTTTATTTCCCACCTTGGTGCGAAATAAAGTCAATTGACATTATTACCTTTTTAAAAACGAAATAAAATCAATTGACATTATTTCTCTTTCACACATTAAATTTGCTTAGCTTCGCGGCGGGCCGCGTCAGCGCGCCACACCGCGTGCGTCGCGCTCGCGCTCGCGCCCCGCGTACCCCGCGCGTCCGGCGCGCACACCGCGTCACGCTACACCGCGGGCCCCCCGGCCCCCCCTCCCCGTCTCCCGACGTGCTGTAGCGCAGGTAGATTAATTTTTTGTATACGTTAAAATAAAATTTTTATATATTTTAAACATCGAGGGCTTATATTCAATAATACCCCCTATCTGCACACTTTTCACAAAGATGAGATTCTGATATAAAAATCCACCTAAGCTTTAACTGTCATCAGTGATATTAATGCTACCTTATATAACGACAGGTAATAAGTCCCAGATGGTTTCTAAAATCAGAAATTAGTTTTTGTGCAAATTGCAGATAGAGGGTATTAATGAATTCAAGCCCTCGATATTTCACATTTTTATATTTGTAAGTTATTGGAAGCAGGGATGCCAACTTGGCTCAAACCGTGCCATTTGTTCCTATTTTATTTCAAATGGCACTTAATTTTTCAATTTGGCACAAAATGCCAAAATGGCACTTTTGTAAAAAAAATAACATTTCAATACATTTTTGTGAAATCCTTTGCGTGCACTTCTTTTTCTCAACTAAAATTTTCTAATTTATAAAGGCTATTCAACTGGTTTATCTTATTTTATCATTGCACTTTTGTTTTGAAAATGAGGCTTTATTTTATTGCTAAATGTGAATGATTAAAAGGAATTACACCTTTTTTGGCACTTTTATTTTTCTATTTGGCACATTTTGGCACTTTTTTTATCCTCAATATGGCACCTCAAAACTAAGGAGAGTTGGCAGCCCTGATTGGAAGATTTCTGCTGTGTTTTGAGGCAACAACTTGTCTGCAGTAAAAAAGCATATAATTTGTGTTTCAAAAGTGTGTGAAAACCAATCCATTAACTTATATGATCTCGGTTCCGATATTAAATAATCAATAATTGTTTATACCCGCATTTTGGCACATTGGCTCGTTGAATGTGCCATCTAATAAATAGTGTCGTCGTTCTCCTTAGCTGCTTTTAAATGACTGCTGGCGGAGACATAAATACAGTGTAAGAAATTTCTTTTTCTAGAATTGTTTCCTTATAGAAAGGTTGGGTTCTTTTCCACCTTAGACATTCCGAATTCGTTCAAAATATGCTAATTTAAAACACAGAATTCTTTCAGTGCTCCTCCGGGGTTTTTGGACATGTACTGTTTCTTCAATTTAATAGTGTTCGCTTTATTTTTGTAGAAACGAAAAATGTTTTGCATGTTATGGATCATTTCTCCACTCTTTCTTCAAAAATTTCTCGTATTCCAGCTGTACGCAGGCGTTTAGTTTTTCGCATCGTGTTTTTACATATTCGTAATTTATATTCTTTTTTTAATAGAATCAATTGGAGGTAGTTCATGATTGTGTGTGGATTAATATCACAACACTGAGGATTTGGCAAAAGCCTTTTTCATCTATTAAAAAACAACACTTACGGGGCAATGTTTATTGTAAGAACAACATTTTTTTCTATGAATCGACACACTTTAAGCATTGTTGACGCTATTTCCATTTGAATGAGGAAATAGCGTCAATGACTTTATTTCCAAATTTTTGTTGACTTTATTTCGCTTTTGAAAAGGTAATAATGTCAATTGACTTTATTTCGCACCAGGGTGGGAAATAAAGTCAATTGACCTTATTTCCATTGACCTTATTACCTGTCACCGAAATACTCTAGGGGATGAACAAAAATCTGAAATTAAAATGAAAGCAAATTTTCGTCGAAATGCCGATTCAGAATAAGAAAATAGGCGCAAACTTTGATGCTTCTATTCCGAGCGCCCCGCAAATGAGAAATTGGTCATTTAATTTTTTTTTTTTGTGGCGTATGTTCGGACTTTAGGGTGTATGGCGAGAATTTTTTTACACTTTTAGCAGTGATAGCAGTAAATACACATTAAATTCGCTGTAAAAAATTTCGAATTATGGCCCGTCCATGCATTCTTCAAGTTGTCAAGTCAACTCCGCACAGGTGCAAAGACAGTCTAATAGCGTTTATGCATCAAAATTTAATTTTGAACAAAATTCGTTTAAGTTAACTGCAGTTTCAAGGAAACATGAGACCGTAAAATTTTTATTTGTTTGTTAATTCTCTGAACCGCCCCTGTTATGATATGGCACTTCATTCTATGTAGTAGTTTACAAATATACCCACTGGGAAAGTAGGTAAGCACCTTACGAGGTAAGCCATGTTTTCTTTCAGTTTTTAGTACCAAAATTGTCATCATGGCGAATGTCATCTACTAGTAAAGCGCAAAATGAACACCTCCGAAGACACATTACGTTGTCAGTTGCAAAATAACGCGCAGCCGAAGTTATTTCCAAGCACCGAACTACTCCAAGCGACTGCTCTGCATTACACGTAACTTACTTTGTAAAGCGGCTCAGAAGTATGCCTGATACCAAACGTACATTCTAAATTCCTACTTACACGGCCACGTCTTTGTTAAAGTAAGGGAGATTCGTCAGTGAAGTGGTAAGGACCGCCGGGCGAAGTGTAAGTTGCTGGTAAGGTATTGCCCTTCACCTGGCCGATTCTTTGCGCTAAGACCGATTAACTGGCATCGGCATCGGCCAAAAATTGGGAATCGGTCGGACTCTACTTGTGCATTTTGTTGATTACGTTATCTTGGTTTGAACATACATACCTTTTTTATCAATACATGGTGTCTCATCTATTATATCCAAGCTTTGCTTTAATAGCCTAAGAGACATTTTATATATTCTTTTGATGATCCAAATTTCTGTTTTTTTTTTTTTAATATTTAGTGGCCAAGGCTTCTTGCAATGCTCCAAACTTTCATATAATTTTGTTTGTTTACATTTTTAGTTTACTCACCTCGTTTTGCGCAGGGTTGCTTAAAACACGTGTGGATGTACATAATTCACCATGATTGGGGTTTTGTAATCTCACTAGCATAGGGTGCACAAAACAATCAAAAAGGTGTTGGAAATTGTTCAACACATCTAGCCCCCCTGCCAGCCAAAGTGGTGAAAAATCTGGTGAAACCACGGGTTTCAGTCACTTCAAAACTGGTGACAAAACTGGTGACATTTGTATGGGCGGTGTGCAGATTGTCACCACTTTCCCCCTGTACGTGTGATCCTTGCATCACTGTCGCACTCATTCAGATACTTCATAAGGAAAACATATAGCTGCACTCGTCTAGCATTGCCCACTTCAGCTGGCACAGGGTTGCATTCTATTCACAGCGAATTCAAAATAACCTTAAAAACAATAAATAAAAAATCTTAAATTTTTTTTTGATTTTTATTTTGCAAAATTTATTTTTCAAAATGCATTGCTAACCTAATATACATAGTTAGTAATCAATATTATGAATAAAAATTACAATTAACATTAATAATAAAGATATTTTTACATACTTATGTGGTTGCCAATTGCTTATTATTACTACTACTCCTTTGCACATATATGTTTTCAAAAGTTGCAAATTTTCTATAAAATAGTTAAGCGATTTTAGCAGTATTATAATCAAAAGAAAGGTAATCGATTTACCTTTCTTTTAATATATATTAACAGTTGCAAATCATTTATGGTAGTTCAGAAAAATTAAGTTTTCTTACAACTTTGCAAAATTTGACAAGTTGGACCTACACTTTGAAGGTGCTCCTGTAGGTCAATGTGCTGAGGGCGGAAGGTACCCATGGTGCTCCTGGCGATGAAGGAGCTGAGGGTAGAAGGTACTGGTGGTGCTCCTGGCGATGAAGAAGCTGAGGCCAGAAGGTTCTAATGGTGCTCCTGGCGATGGAGATGCAAGCGTTGAAGGTGCTGATGGTGATTCCCAATCTGTTAACAAACAAAAATATCAATTCAAATTTATAAACATATAAAAAGTCTCAATACATACCTTAAGAATGTGACTAAGTCGCTGCTGGTTTGCAATCTAAAAGAAGAAATTCCATTATAATTTAATAAAATTGTTAAATACGTATTCTTACCTTCAAAATTTTCGCAAAGTGACATTTCTTCACAGTATGTATACTGTCATCAAAACTCCGATGTTTCTAATTTGCTCGCTCTAACGCATAGCATTCTTATTAGAGTACGAATTCTTATCGGGTATGTAGCTCTAACAAAGGGACATTTTTTTGACAGTTCGAACAAAAAATTTGTAAGTGTGTGGGTGAGATGACTAAAAAGTTGTCAATGTGTTTGTAAGGTCGGTGTTATGCAGACATTTTGTTTGGCAAACTGCGTGCAATTGTTGTTGCAGCAAACTCGGAGAGAGCGAGTTTGGCGACTCTCACAGCAAACTAATTTTGTTTGGTCAAACTGCAGCAAATTCGGTGTTGTCATATACAAAAATTTTAAATTTTGCGCGTTATGTACATCTGAAATTCTCATTTCGTGTTGGCAATAGCCATGAAAACCATAATGAACGTGCAACCCTGTGCCAAACTCGACATAACCACCTCCGAGCAAACTAAGCAGCCGCCATTTAATTTGGCAAACAAATGTTTGTCTGCATAACACCGACCTAAATCGTTTGAATTTCAGGGGAAAGTGGTGAGCCGTGACTGGCAGGGCCTTTGCCAGCTTAATTTTTTTGGATCGTTGTCACATGCCGAAAAGCGGATCTGATTTTCGAGAGATAAGAATTCATTATCCATTCTTGGCCTCTATACACTATTTTAAAAATGTTTTTGTTAAAAAGAAAAAAAATAACCAACTCATCAAAAAAAATGCACGGTATATTGTACAAATGCTGCGAACCATGGCCACGAACTAGTAAATATTTTTTTTTTTTTTTTAATCGCACAACCACAGTAATATATGTTTTAGTGTGAAATATTGTCACTGAAGACAAAGTATTTAAGGGTATAAGAAAATCAGCATTAAAAAACCAAAAAATAAATAAAAAATATAAATTAAAATAATTTTTAGTGTGAGGTAATGTTTTAGAACAAATTTAAGGTTTTTTTATTAACACAAAAATTTTAAAAACATATCTTTTAAAATTACAAAAAACATTAAAAATATAAACATACCTACATACATACAATAGCCTTACATTTGCAAATTTACATCAACTACCCCATGTTAATTTATATTTAAGAGGTGAATAAATTTGAACAGGTTCAGAATTTTCATTATTTTAATTTTCTTGCAACTAGTTAAAAATAAAAGTGTAACTTACGCTGAACATAATTACTCCCTGACTTTGTACGATATATAGTACCTACAAATTTCAATGGGCCGTAGACCATGTCCAGACAATTAAACTCTTAGACACAATCGAGAAAAAATTTAATTTTGATTTTTTTTTTTATTAGTTTAGAAAATTGTGACAAAGTGTTAAGTGGCAAATACACCACCCAAGCGGTTTGTCAAACACGGCGAAATTTCCTTTCAAGGCGAAAAGTACAAAACCACGCCAGAAATGCGATTGCTTTATAAAAAAGAGAACCATTTATGAAATATGAGTGTTTTTACTCTCTAGAAAATAATTTACATAATTCACATATGCGGTTTTGCATTATCTTGATACGCGGTTGTGTACTTTTAACGACGATATATCTTTCTATCGCCCTGCTGTACGTGCCAAAGGTGGCCGTATTTCTTTTTTGCTTTCAAAGTTTTAGAAGAAAACAATATAAACACGAATTATTTTTGTTGTTTAAAAAATATAGTTGTGGATTCGTTAAACCCGGCTTGAAATAAAATAGTTTTTAAACACACAATTTAGCTAAAATTATTCATTGAAACTCTGAAAAATATGTTGTCATGTGAAATAAATTTTTCTTTAGTTAAACAAAAGTGTAAAATAGTGGTGCTTATGGTGTTAACAAATGTTTAGCTGATGAACCCGCTTTTACAAACGTCGCGTTCTTGCGTGATCTCGTATTTTTGGTTTATGCCGCACACGTATCATGGTACAATAAAACCATGATACGAAAAAGAAGGTAGTTTCAATAAACTTTTGACGGGTAATAAAATTTTTGGAAGTTTCATAAATTGTGAGTATTATCATCGGCCTTGCTACTTTGATAATATTAAAACAATAAATCGGAGTATTTTCCTTCCCATATTTATACCAATGCAATAATATTTAAAATTAAAAACCATTATTAGTGCTTGGTATTTTTTTACTTACGTAACTCGCACTATTTTCATTAAAAATATATAAAATATAGACTATTAAAGAAGACTTCATTGTAATTGTTCTTTTTATTTTATAATAAAAACCACGCGCGCATTGTGCTGTTATTTTTTCGTTTTTTTTTTTATTTTGAATGCAATCTTGCGATCTAAAAATCTACTTCCAACGAATGTTTTTCCCAAATAAAACCTTTTTATATTTAGGTTCAAATATACGTTTATATTTCTCATAAGATTTTGCAAACAATTGGCTTTCAAAAATTTTGATCTTAACGTTTCTAATGTATGCAAAAAACCTGAAGTCGGCTTGAACAGAAAACTTGAAAACCGCGTATCAACAAAATGCAAAACTGCGTATGCGAGGTTGCATAAATTATTTTCCAGAGAGTAAAAACACTCATATTTCAAAATTGTTCTCTTTTTTATAAAGCAATCGCATTTCTGGCTAGTATATTTCAGGACGAATGGATAAAACTTCAGCAAAGAGCTTGTGTGAGCAAATCCAATCTTTGGCAAAAAATGTCGGTTACGCGGTTTTGCAGAACGACGATACGCGGTTTTGTACTTTTAACGACGATATGTAAGTATAATTTTGATCACTTTCTTCATGCGTTCTGAAACCTTGGCATAAACCCCATTTTCGAAATTATGTAGCCGGCATAATTTTCAAGTCCACATCTTTGAATGTACTGATAAAATATTCTGCTTTAAAAAAATATATTTCTTCTAGTGATCAGGTATCATGAATTTGATAAAATGTCATAATTTTATTAAAAGTCAAATGGTTAGCAACAACAACGAATGGCATTAAATGGAACTACCTTCTTTTTTATATCATGAATAAAACCAGGTAGAAGCCAATTTGAAGTCAAGCCTACAAAAGTCAAAGTTTTCGGGAGAGTAAAAATAAAAATGAGCGTGTGTAAGGAAAAATAAAAAATTACATTTCAATGGTTGACATTTTTAAGTAAATTTGAAGTTTAATTTTATTTATTTACTTTCTTTAGTTAAAATTTGTTAATTTGTTTGTTGGTTTCCGTCTTTGAACGTGCCTTTCCTGTTCCTCCCGGTGCAGATATTTAACGCACAGCAAGGCATTTCGCTGCAGCTCTGCCCAACAGCTGCTTTCGCAACGCTCCATACGCGAAGGACATTGAGGCACGTTAAAAAAATTAGTGGTATCTGATTTATATTTAACACCACAAAAACCAACGATTTTTAACACATACGCTTAGTATAAACCGCACAACACTACAAAAATTCAAATGTTAATTAAAATTTGTTTTTAACGAACATTCAATAAGCAAGTAATTTTTAGCAAAAAAAAAAACGACTTCAACTCTCATATAAAATATATATATATTTGTAAATCTCATGATCCACTGATCGGATCTTAACCATATTTATGGGACCACCTCTGAGACATTACCTTTCCGATGCAAAAAGAATTATCGAAATCGGTTGACGTGGTCCAAAGTTATGCGGTAACATACATAAAAAAAAAAATATTCCGACGAACTGATAACCTCCTCCTTTTTTGGAAGTTGGTTAAAAAGGATATAAAAAAGCAATATGTACCTAAATATAAAAGCAAACCTCAAATATAGTTAAATGTGTGCACCAATGAAAAATGTATTTTCTTGTTGTTAATAAATTGGTAAGAAGTGGGTTTCTTGTTTATAGATGTATGGATCTCATATAG